TCATCTGGATTGTTATGTAGAAACTTCTGCGCCATGATTTGAGATCTCCGCTTCAGCTCGCGATTTTGTCGGTACCACTAATATAACAAAACTATATTATTTTGCAACAATTACGTATCACTTATTTAGTTATCACAACAATTCTCATTCGTTATTGATTAAGATTACAAATCACTTAATATATTTTCTATGTATCACCACACAGATTACAAATAATACGCAAATTAAATTATCATGAATATATTGTTACCTGAGAGGCTTGTTGCATAGCTTTATGCATTGCGTTCGTTTCCACATCATATTGGTGTTTTAATTGTTCGTATTCTTTACATACTGCTTCAGAAACTATGGGAAAGGAACAAGAATTTAATAATTTTAGAGAAGATTCGGCTATATATATTATAAGATGAAACTCTTCAACAAGATGTTTACACTTGAAAAAACCTGAGACTTAAAATTTGTAAGGAATTTTTGTTATCTGCGTGTTGAAAATTAGGAATTTTCATGAACTTTTGTCAGATTTCATCAGGAAAATTTTGAAATTTTTCTTTTTTTAAGTTCTGTCTTTTTCTGAAAACATTGTTTTTTTTCTTGATAATGTTGATCAGTTAGCATACACATCCGCATATATTCTCACGTATATTTTCATATGTCTCGTGAGTTTTATTTAAAGAATCAAGATGACACACGAAATTAAGTAAAAAACAGTACAACAAAGTAGTTAACTGTTATTATAGTTGATCATAACTTCGTCTTCTGGAATGTGACGCAAAACAATAAAATTTTAGCAATTAATAAAATTGGATTATTAAAATATTGCATAAAGTTGCAGTAATATATCTGCAATATTTCTCTAAATATTGCAGTAATATCGCAGAATATTGCAGCAATATTTTATTTTAATGGGCATAGAAATATTGCTACAATATTGCAATATTTCATAAAACATTGCTGCAATATTGTAGCAATATTCCTATGTTCGCAAAAATAAAATATTGCTGTAACAATATCTTTATTTTAGACCATGTGAGAAACACAATAAATACTAGCAATTTAAAATGCCTATTACGGTCGAAGCTGGATCTTCGTTGCTTAAATAATTCAATCTTGAATTACTAATATATACTATATATGTACTTGCATATATACCATATTGTAGTGTTTTTCAAACTGCGCGCCGAATTATTTTTCCGGACTTAATAGACGCAATTAAAACTACTCTAGTAATCGCGAATTAAATTGACAAGCAATTTAATAATTTGATGTTACCATGAAGCATCATATATTATAAAGATGTTAATATGTTAAAGCCTCGGTGGTCTAATGGCTTAGGACGCTCGTACGGAATACAAGAGATCCAGATTCAAGTCCCGGCCGAGGTAATATTTTTCGCAATAAATTTATTAATAGTTTTAACATATTAACATTTTTATAATATATGATGCTTGATGATAACATCAAATTATTAAATTTCTTGTCAATTTAATTCGCGATTAGTAGAGTAGTTTTAATTGCGTTTATTTAGACCGGAAAAATAATTCGGTGCGCAGTTTGAAAAAGACTACAATATGGTATATATGCAAATACATACATATTATAATATATATTAGTAATTCAAGATTGAATTATTTAAGCAACGAAGATCTAGCTTCGACCGTAATAGGCATTTTAAATTTCTAGTATTGCTGTAACATTATGCAATGTTTTAATAATTATTCTATTTTTATTAATTTCTAACATATTGTTTAGCATCGTATTCCAAAATACATACGATAAAGTTATAACAAAAAAATATTCGGAGACCTAGAAAGCACATCCAAGGCTTTGTTCAGATTCCCCGAGTACATCCAGGTATCATTTCATTCTTGTTGTTTACCGAATATTAAACAAGAATAACATGACACCTCGGGTGGGAATCCGAACACGCCTTAAAAAAAGGTTGGAAATCTCCAGGAAACTTGCTAACTCGATTTGCGTACTCCTTCTTACAGGACTCTTGGACGTTTTCTCCTTACGAGAAACGTATCCCTTTCGTGGCAGTAACGACCGCGTACTTATTTATCGAATTGTAATATTGCAATAATATATTGCAATATTTTTTCTACAAAATATTAAAATTACAATATTTTGCAATATTGTTGCAATATTTCCAATAAAATATTAAAATTTCAATATTGCTGCAATATTTTTGTAATATTGGGCACTATTGAAATATTGCTGCAATATTGCTATAATATTTCGTGCTGTAGGGGTAGCCACGCACCTGTCCGTAATTTTAGCAGCTTCTGTTCCTTCTCTTGAACTTGCGATTGCAGCACGTTATTTTCTCTCTGCAATTGTTGATATTTTTTCTCCAAATCTACGTGCTCCTTATTTGCTGCAAAAGGTGTTCGAGATTATAACACAGAATGCAATATTTTATCGTAAAATATTTTAATTTCTATTTCCAATTATTATAGTTATGGAACGGTACGGATGTTCGTAGGCTAGATGAGTCAGTTATCATCAAACATCGCGATTAAGTCGACAATCAGATTAAGGTCACATAATCCTTAGAACTATTGAGGAACAATTGATGATGTCATCGTACTGAAAAAAGTTTACATTGAAACAAAATACATATTCCAGCGATGATAGAATGTTTATCAACCGTGATAATATAATAGTTTTTCAGTTAAAGCAAACAATTAGAAAAGCAAAAAATTGTATATGGCTACATGCGTGTAGAAAGTTACTTTAACGTTTCGCGCAAAATTCGGATGAGCCTATTGTTCTACCATCATTTTATTTTTTTTCTTTTTGATGTTATATTCCAAATATTATCTTTAAATATTCTTGCTGAAACTCTGACACGTCATGTTATATGGTATGTATTATGTACGAATCGTTTACAAAGCGTTTGTTAATTAATTAATTATAAATCGTATTCGAGCGACTTTGAGAAAATTGTTAAAATATCTCGCCTCCTGATCTTTTTATGTAAATTCGATCGATCAGCCTGGCTAATCGTCCATCAATCGATGCAACATACCGTTTTAAGAATATAGAAGTAATATTTTTCCCCGTCGATTTATAATTCTATCGCGTATAAACAGTGTGACTAGTGCAGCGTCATAGTCTTCATTTTATATGCAGAAGTGAATCACGACATGATAATCGAGTACACGACATTCTCAGTCAATTTATCCGTGAACTGTGATGAACACGCTCTTTCCATTATTTATAAACTTTTGTTAATAAAAGTCTAACAGAAAAATCAACGCCGAATAATTTGATAAGCTTATATTCACATATCGAAGGAATTTTCAAAAATAAGTGATCTTGTTTCCGATATATTCAAGTATAAATATGTATACGAATTAATTATTTTATAAATAATCGTTTAAGTTTGCACACTTTTCTTACCTTATGAAGTATAAGAACGCTTTAATGTTTCATCATGAAATCGGATGATAAACACGCATTGAATCGTTCGAAATATCAATTCGATATAATGTAAACCTCGCACTTCATAAATTTATATATACGTGTGTGTGCGCGTGTGGCGCGTGCGTGTGCGTGTGTGCGTGTGCACGTAATTAAGACACTACATGTCTACTTATCAATATAGATTCAAATTCTAGTAGTAGCTATTATTTATACAACCACATGACATCAGTTTTATGTTTGACTATCGCAACATTCGACGCTTTTAATAATATTAATAATTACCAGCTTCGCTCTTCTGCAGCAGGTGTTTTCGCCTCTTTTCCGAATCCTCATATTTGCTCTTCCACTTGCTTTCCAAAAAGCTGTTGCTTCTGTTGAGTCTGACGACGTCGTTCTTACAAACATTCACCGGCGTCGTCTTTTCCTCGGATTTTCGCATCTCGATGCTAGAGGTCGACAATTGGTTGTTATTGCGCGACCTCAGCTGTGCGACTGAAGCTTCGAGCTTCTCGAAGGACGCTCTTTGGGCTGCCACATTGCCTGCCCCGCGGCCGAGCTTCTCGAAGGATCCTCTGCGCTTTGGAGGACATCTCTCTTGAGCCTTGATTGTGGCCGATATTCTCGGCACCGGAATGTGAGAGTGAATCACGTTCGAAGACGTTCTCGGTGGCTCCGTGCTCAGAACAATGTTGAATTCCGTCTTATTCATGATGCCTGTGGAAATGAGTACACTTGTTATCTCGTTTATTTTAAGCTTTATTGTAACGATCACGATGAAATATGATAGAATTCCAAAATTGACTATTTTTTGGTTAGAGTATTAAGTCCGCGTATCTTTTTCTAAAAATTCAATGTAAACTTTAAGTCTGTTCGTGTTGTTTGAAATTCTCAAAAAATATTTGCACTTAAAACGAGATAAATAGATATAGGGGAGAATGGGGTAACGCGGCGCAGTGAGCAATACGGATTACGGCGCATTGTTATTGTAGCAATTTGCATTGGCCGACACTATACGAAAATTAATGTTATTTGATGCAATTATGTTTAACTATACGTGGATTGCATAGAATCAAAATCGATGTGAATTTATCCACGTGAATTCTACATTACTATTTCTTATTTTTATTTCCGTTAAATTTCATCAGTAATTCCACGTGAATTATAGGGGAGAATGGGGTAACGCGGCGCAGTGGGCAATACGGCGCATTGTTATTGTAGCAATTTGCATTGGCCGACACTACGAAAATTAATGTTTGATGCAATTATGTTTAACTATGATGTATACGAAATTTCAGAACAAGTCATTATGTTTTTTAATTTTTATCGTCTAAATTTAGTATGATATACTTTTCTTGTCAGATTTGCACCTCAAATACATTCATATAATTTCGTTTCTTCAAAATCAATTCATGACATTAAGATATTATTTGGAAAGCTGAATTTTTAATGTTTTAAGCCCTATACTTTTTCATATTTATAATAGTTTATTTAATTGCAATAATAAATAATTTTAAAGAAACGTGCGCGCGGGCAACGCGGCGCAAACCGTGTTTAAAATGGTAGGGTAGGCTAGCGCATTGAGATGGCGATAAAGCGCGGAGGTGTTGATTCACTTGATTACCTATGCTGATATAAAAGTAAGTATTGCACTTTTGTTTTAAAAAACGTAGTTATTCTCTTACAAATCTGTCATATTTTATTCGTCAAATATTCACGTTCAGGAAATAAAAACGAAAATATACAGTATTTTGAGAGATTATATTTTGAGGTTAGGTCGATGATTTTTGCTTTATAAGCTTTAACAAGCTTTATGCGATTATTTGTTCTTAAAATAAGTTTTTTAAATGATATTCTTTATGTACATATATTGTTACAGATGCGACTTTGTAGCCGTACGACGACAAAGGACAGTTGGAGTTCTGATAAATTGAAATCTGCCCTCGTAGCAGTTTCTGAAGGAACGCATATCGGGAAAAGTGCCAAAAATGTTTGGAATCCCAGAAAGTACATTGCGAAGAAGAATGAAAGCAAATAATGTATCTAAAGCAGTGCTGGGCAGAAGGTGCTATTTTTCTGTCGAACAAGAAAGACATGTCGCAGAGCGCATTTTAAAGATGTGTAATATTTTTTACGGAGTCACACCTGAACAATGTAGAAAAATGGCATTCGAACTGGCAGAAAGAAACAACATCAAGAATCAATTCAATCAAAACTGGAGGATTGCTGGCAAAGCGTGGTTAGAAGGTTTTTTTGAAACGTAATCCATCTGTTACCACAAGAAAGCCTGAAGCATTAAGTATAGGTAGATACGAGGCTTCAATAAAGTCGAAGTATTGAGATTCTACACAAATCTGCAGCAACTTATGGATACTTATCACTTCCCAGCGAGTAGAATATTTAATATGGATGAAACTGGTATTTCAACGGTTCAGGTAACATGATTTTAATGACAAATATGTGTAACATTATAAACAAAATAAATTACGTTTTCAAATAAATTATTAATATGAATTTTGGCAATTTTTGCTGTATTTTGTTATTCAAAGAATTTTCTCTTGTAAAGGACTTTTAATTTATTTATAAGTATGTGGTATTTAAAGTGCGTGCGTGCGTGTGTGATTACGTATTATTTATCACATCTAAAAATATTTATTGTTAAAGGAAACTGACAGAGTTGGCTCCGAAGGGACAAAAACATGTTGCTTCTATCACATCAGGAGAAAGAGGGAGAACTACAATGGTTATTTGTGCAATGAGTGCAAGTGGAATCTATATACAGCCTATGTTCATTTTTTGTAAACAAAGAATTTTCTACGTATATGGAAGACATGCACCTGAAGGATCTATAATAAAATGCACTCGAAATGGCTGGACTAATGAAGAGATGTTTATGATTTGGCTACAACATTTCGCTTATTGTGTTAATCAACAAAGGAGAATCCAGTGTTGTTGGTGTTGGATAATCATAATAGTCACATTTCATTGTCAACTTACAGTTTTTGTACGTATAATTACATACATATGCTTTCATTACCTCCGCATACCAGTCATCGAATGCAACCTCTAGACGTAAGTTTCTTTGGACCTCTTAAGCGAGCATATTATCGAGAAGCCAATTTGTTTATCAAATCAAAAAACTTGACGAAAATACAACCTTCTGATTTGCCAGGTAATTTTAATTGTTATTAAACAAGGAAAGATCAAAATTCGGAAACAAAAAATTTATAACAATTATTCTTTATTAGAACTTTTTGGAAAAGCTTATAACAGAATTGCTTCTATCAATAAAGCTGTAAATGGGTTTAAAGCATCTGGTATTTATCCCATTGATCCATGTGTTTTCGAAGATTCAATGATTAAAGATAAAGGCGGAGAAAATTCAAGAAATCGTCTAAAAAAGGAACTAAGAGAAAAAAAAAGCAGAGAAAGAAGAAGAAATTCACAAAAAAAGAGAGATGAAGGAGAAAAGGAAAATGGAAAAGAAAGAAAATAGTATGAAAAAAATGAAAGCGAACACAAACATTTGAATTTAATATTAGAATTACTTAATTATTTAAGAATGTGATTTATTTAAAAAAATTATTTGCAATATTCTTAACATTCTATGAAGAGATTTAATTTAATATTACTTAAAATGGCGCAGTAAAGTTTTATTTACAAATAAGTACATTAAGATTGATTATAAATTGATTTTTCTGTGATTTCACTTATATTTTTGATATTTAGAATGTATATGATACGTTATGTTGTTTATCTTATCTGAAATGTTTATTTTGAAAAATTAAAAGTAATTTACTTGGAATATCTATCTTCAAACAATAGGTTTATGCTGAATAAAGAATAAAAATTATTGTAACATTGTTCATCCCTCATTTAACCTCATATAGACAATCTATTCAGAAAGTTTTAACGTTGGCTGATTTTCTGAAGCTTTATGCATGCTCGTTAATAATTGAATAAAATAAACATTACATTCTTATTGAAATTTTTAACTAAAATTCAACACAAAATTAGGAAAAGGTGTTTATTCCAACGATCCTTTAATATAGAAACCGTAGTGCGCCACATTACACGATGCGCTGAGTAATACGACGCAAATAAACTTCTTTTATAATGCAATAATTTCATATATTACAAGGTGAAAATATTATTAAATCTGAAATACAGTGATAGATGAGAAGTTCAACTTTAATTTTACCTTGTTTTTTATTGCGTTTAAAACGTTTTTTATAGTAAATATTCCACTTTTCCTTAGGTGCGCCGCATTCCCCCATTCTCCCCTATATTCGGGCATTGAAGAGAGAGAAAGTAAAGATTCTAAGGGCAAAAAGTACAAACAACGCGAATAGACCTATCATTTACGTAAAAAATTTCCTTTTTGATAAAATACGTGAGAGAATGTAATTAGTAAAAAAATTTTTCATTATTATCATCATTATTATTATTAAAATAAACAGTGAAAAAAGAAAAAGCATTAATTTATCGTCTCCTTAAAAAATAAAAAGATTGAGCTTCTCACAAAAAGAAATTATTTTTTAATTTGACAGAAAATTATTGACTAATGAAATAATATCGTAAATAATAAAAATAATATGTTCTTATGATCAAATGTCATTTTTATTTCACAATCATTCTTTAAAAAAACCATCCTTTTTTAATTGTCACGACTTTAAAGATCACTTTTTTTACAATTTATATAGGGTAATGTTCACCTAATTCATTCATGATAATAACTCAAACATTACGTTTTTTATATAATTTTTTTGATTGTCACTTTTTAAGTAAAAGATCGATGTATTATTGAAATTGTATTTTGTTTTATGTCATTTTACAGAAGATACGGCTTTTTTATGCCATTAAATACGAACACTGGTAGATCAATGGGGAGGTCACGGGACCACGACCTGCCTCCACCCCCTTAGAGTACCTTTTTTTAAAAAATATTTATAGCAAAATGTTATATATATCTTTATTTATAATATTTCTGAAATCATAATTTTGATATTATAAAAGTATTTTTTAGTGTGTTTAAGGGACTCCTATATAAATATAAAAAACAGATTTCATTATATATATATATTTTTTATTAATATAATTTAAACTAAAACGTTTTATGAATTATACATTTAAATAATACTTTTTTTTAATGTAATAATTTAAATAATAGTTTAATATTCCATCTTTTCATATTTGACTTATTGTTAAACAAAATTTTGCTTGTGGCGCATCCCTCTTGAAATTTCTGAATCCGCCAATGAATACGAAATGTATCGATTCCGATAAGTACATCGATATGCCTTCGTTGATATTTGAGAATATGTCACTTTGACAAGTGTCTTGGACGAAGAAACAAAATTCCTAAAACGTATTGTATATGTATTTAAATTCTTTATGAACACTATCATCGTTAATTCATTAAATTGCATAATCGACATTCACAGAAAAATAACGCGCCACGATTTAAATTTTGACGTATTGCTTTCTTATTTCAAAAGTGAGTGCAACTCAAAAAGTTAAGTTTGCCAAAAAACAAAAATAAAAACTATTTTTAAATTTAACAGAAAATTACTGGCTAAACAAATAATATTAGAATATATTTTTAACATTGATCAAATATCATGATCAATAATAATTTTATTATTTACGATTCACAATCCTTAAACCCACTGTTTTTAAACTTGTAACAATTTCGACGATTTTTTAAAATCATTCTTTTTATGCTTTGATGTTTTAAGGATTTTTTAATAAAGTTAAGTTAATTCACTTTCGATGAATTGATATGTAATACTTACTTAACTCATTCATAGTCATAACTTAAAAATTGTTTTTGAATTGTTATTTTTGAAGTAAGGGAGCAATATGCGACTACTCAAGAAATAAACTTACCCAAATGCATTATCATCACCGGTTAAGGTTAATAACATTGAACATTTCTAAAAATATACATATTTGTCTCACTCTCGACAGTCAACAAGTTTGAAATAACTGCTATGTCAAAATATTCTTATATGCCCAATTCTTATTGTACGGACCATATTTTACCAATATTTTTTATTTATCTATTGTTATCTCATATATTAGATTATATCGATAAATTAATTTAACATTATATAATTCACAAAGAGAGAAAAGCATTTCGAGAATATCCATATTTTATTAACTATTATTTATAATTTAACAACATAAAAATTATCGAATTGATAGTATTGTACAATATTACCGTGATCAATTTATAAAAAATTATCAGATTTTAAATAAAGATTATTGCGATTATTAATTATTATTGTGTTCAATACCTCATGTACTTATTGTTTTATGATATTACGGCTATTAGCAAAAAGAGATTGAATACTCTTGATAAGATCTGTCGTATATACATATACATTCATTCACGCCGCAAAACACGAGTTGCCGGAATAGAGGTTAGTGCGTTCTAAAATAGGATTCTCTACCAAAAGTATACCTAAGAGTTAGGTTTAGACGCACGTGTTGAGCTTCGCGGGAGTAAAGCAAATAACTCTCCTGCGAGCCATTTAAAGTTAATTCGTCGGAATGCGTGTCTGTGTCGAGACTCGTGCGGCTCGATCGGCTTAAAACGACATAGGGTTGAATGGTTTCGGTTGTTTCCCTAAACTAGTCCGCCAGGTGTTACGATAATTATCATTCTAACTTCCGCCAACATCAACGTCCCCGTGCGAAAGTTCGAAAGGCTCGCAAAAATTCGCTCAGGCGAAAAACGAGACGGGATACTTCAGTGGAATACACAATTCGACATTCAAGACGTTAATTAATTCTTTCATTTGCATTGGAGTGCATGCATAAAGTAGGAAAGACGGTCCAATGTTTTTTGAAATCGATAAACTGAAACGTATTCTCAAAGAACATTCAAAATATAGGAGTCCGTTTTACACAAGCGAAAACATAGAGTATTAACCCTTACCATACTATCTACAATTTGGTGCCTCATCCATACCAACCAGGGTCACTAGAAAATCTCTTCGTTTTTTCTCACCTCTTCAAAATAATTCAAAAAATCTCTAAAAATTCACCAACATACTTCCAACATTCTAGAATAAATATTGACTTTTCATTTTGGAAAATAATAAAATGTAGTATAATTTATAATTACCGAAAGATTCGTAAGTTGGGAAAAAATGGCATTTGATTTAAAATATTATAACTTTTCATAATAAATGAATATAAAAAAATCACTCCAGGGTTTTGTAATTTAGATATGATGTTATGAAAAACAAAATACTAGAACTTCGAATTCTACAAAAAGTTGAATTATTTGAACACGTGAATGCGAGTAATTTTCAGTAAAGGACATATAGAAAAAATCGAGTTAGAATACGCATTTTTTTATTTTGTTGTAAAATAATGTATTTTTTCATTAAAAAAATGTAAATTTTAATATACATTTAGATAAATATGTAAAGAAAAGCGTGACTCGCCTCTTCAGTTTTATCTATTTTGTCTAAAAAATAAATAATTCTTTTAGAAAAAAAAATTTTTAATGAAAACAAACATTCAGACATTAATTTAGAGTGAAAATAGAATATTTATAATAATTTTGACACAATTTTTATTTTTACAAAAAAGCTATATTCACAAGGGTCACTAGTGTCTCACGTCGCCTTAAACTGCACGTCAGTCATAGGCAGATTGACGGCCGGGGTCGCACCACCGCGCACAGGGATCCTCCCCATCACAAACTTTTTTTACGCGGCAATAACAAACGTCGGGTTGACCGAGCTTGCGAGAAACTTGCACGAATAGGAATCGCTCGGTCACTAATTACCCATATTAGTACGGTAAGGGTTAATTCAGTACTCGATAAAATAACAGTCAAATAAGAGATTTATCGAACTCTTACAGAAATCCCATTTACATAATACTAGCCAATTTAATACTGAAAATTACTTCTCATTCACAACAAAATTGCAGCAACATTGCAACGTTCCAGCAATATTGCAGTAACATATTGCAAACGTTACTACAAGCTTCTATATGTTGCATGAGTTATTTAATTACTTATTTTGTATAAGTTAATTATTAATTATTCATTTTGAGTATTAAAAGCACCCCTACAGCATAAAATTGCAGCAACATCGCAGATTTTGCAGTGATATTGCCGTAAATTTTGTGCTGTATGGGCACTGTTGTTCAATGCTTTTAATACTCAAAATGAGTAGTTAATCTATATTTATAGAGAAAGAATGCGCCGAATTAACGCGACTACAGAATTAAATTTCCAGTCGTTATTTAATTTTATAACTTATTCATTTTTCCAGTATTAAAAATCATTTTATTTAAATCAGGAAAGATTTAATTTAATTTGGAATAGAACGATTGTACCTATACACTTTATGCTTATCGAGCTATTAACACTTGCAATCATTTTTTTTTGCCTCGCATTCACTACACTCACTACAGTATACCTAATGTCATTGATCGTT